ATCAGTCTACAGAGAAAAAATGATTGATCTCTCTACTGGAATAGAAAGGGATATCCCATTAGTTGAGATTACTTTAGGGTCAGAAGTTGACTCCCCCATCTCTAGGATGGAGATCGCAGTTGCCCCTTCGACCACTGTGCCCTCTACTAAGGAGGATAAGAACCAGGAATCATTAACATCGAAAGAGTTACAATCTCAATCTGAGATTGGGTCAAGTTTTTGCACCCCTGTTCCCATCAAAAATAAGATAAAGAATTACATTCGAAGAGTCAGAAAGAAGGTTGTTAAGGCCAAATGGGCTGCCGAGTCAGGAGCCTTAAAGCAAGTCGGATCTAAGGACAATTTAGAACTCCTTGCTCCTTACAACTACCCCCTCCATAGTGGAAATGTTTTCCACCATACTCCTATTACTCAAAGGAGGGAGGCTTTGAAAATGAGAGTGTGATCTCCAATACACCTTATTGACTACTACACAAAGAGAATCAATCAAGAAAGAACTAAGCAATCACCATCAATAGACCATAGGCCCCTAATTGAGGGTTATGACCCATCCACTTTACTAGATGAAGCTTGGTCACGTTACTACATGTGCCTCACTATATCATCTATAGAGGAGGAGGTACAGAAACCACCCGGGTTGCCACTCTCATAATTATTAGGTTATTAGTAATTAGGGAGGAAAAAATAATGGATGTGAGATCTTATTAGATAGTGACACCATTTGAATTTAACTTCTAAAAGGGGTCCTATTGCGATAGATCCTTAGACTGAGATGTTGTAACACTAGTTACGAGTAGTGCAAACCCCGCAATAATCTTTCTCTCTTAAGAGCTTATGGAAATATAATTTATATTGATAGGGTCTTGCCACCTGGATTTGCTATTTGAAGGAAATTATATTTTTTCTCAAGTGTACTTGGTCAAAATTTTCAAAATAGTTGATCTATATTTTTAATGAAAATTAGCCTCTACTTTAAACCAAAAATAGGAGAGAGTTGTGGTTGACTCCACTGGATCTTTAAAGGCCCCTCCCTCCGACCGCTTCTGCGGGTCGATTTGATTTTTTTGAATTAAAATTTGTATCAAACTTAAGTTGGTTTTGGAAATGAAAATATTCTCAATCTTCTCATAGTTTTCCTTCTTATGGGCTTCTCTTGCGTGTTCTAAATTTATTCAACGATTTTCTAAGTCAAGTTGATATTTTCTTAGCAAAAGATTAGGTCTGATTTGGGGATTATTCTTCCTTGATTAAGAGAATGAGTTTTCTTCTCTTATACTTATGATACAATCCTGGTTTAAAACAAAAAGAGCTATCATGTTAAGGTTTTAAAGAAAGTGAAGCCTCTTATTAAAAGAAAAAGAGAAGAAAATTCAAAGGATGCACAAAGTGCACTAAAAGATTCAAAACCAAAAGAAGCGTAAAGCGCGCCAAAGAAATAAAATGATGTGCAAAGCACGTCACAAATAAAAAGTGAAAGAGGCTTCCTTCTTTTTAAATCCTTAAATCTCAAAGGGCCCGATCATATTTAATATATTTTCTTTGAAAAATCTTGAATATAGATTTATTGTCCTGCATAGACAGTTCATCAGATAGAAAATTCAATACAAGAGAATTGAAAAGATTAAATTTCTCGATCCACCTTAAACCCTTTTGAAATTGATTTTAATTCAAAATTTATATAAGGGATAACCTAGTTCAGTTTCTATAAAACTTGATCTGAGTCAAAAAAATTCAGACGCTTGGCTCTTTTCAGGTCAATTGGAGTCACTCTACTTCTCACTATACTTTTGAATTTGTTCCCACTTGTCATTCTGACAGGGTCCAAATGATTAAGAGGAAATTTTCAGTAAAAAGAATGAATATTCTATTCTCGATAAGAATTCAAATCCCATTCTTGAGAGATATATGTGAATCCTTAAGCATAGGCATCATTCCTTTTAATATCTACTCTGTAAAATAACACTCTGTGCTAGGTACAAGGTTGTTCTCACATAGAGGTGTGTTTTATATTACTGAAAATTGCTTTTCAAAATTGAGTCACAACTGAGTAGAGTGCCCAAGTCTGATTAGAAGAGCTCGAAGGCCTCAAAGAAAGTTGCTTTGAACTCAACAAAATTTGAAATGACATAAGTCACGTATGATTTAAGCATGGGATAAATTGTGTTACCTCAGGACTTTCCAAGTAGAAGACTTGGCCATAGTTCTTTGGAGACCACTTTTAGTCCACCATAAGATCAATGGAAGCTTTGAATCAATGTTGACTGGATCGACCACCTTAGAGATGATCTATAAGGAAGGCTAATGTAATTGATTAATTTTGAAGATGCCACTAGATGTTTTCTGTCATTTGGGCAGTTCTTCAAGAAATACCATGTCGAATGAGTATCAAATTAAACATCAAATTCACCCCTCCAAATTCATAGAAATAAAATAAAATCAAATTTAAAATCATCAATCGATTGTTTCCAGTTCTCTTTTCATTATGGCTTGGTCCTTCCTTCCCTTAGGATTAGATCCGCTAGTGGTGGAGTACGCACTTCGTGGCACCATCCTGACATTTGGCTTGAGAATTAGTGGTGGAGAACGCCCTTTTTGGCACCATCTTAATTCACTCTCGCTAGTGGTGGAGTACGCCATTTGTGGCACCATCCTGGCATTTAACTTGAGGATTAGTGATGGAGTATGCCCTTCGTGGCACCATCCTAATTCACACTCGTTAGTGGTGGAGTACGCCCTTCGTTGGCACCACCCTAGTTTACCAGTTTTAGTCCTCTGTGTGGAGTAAGTTTCCTCCCCCCATGACCATCCCAATTAATCCATCTATTAGGAGTAAGTCTTCTATCATCATCTTATAGACCTAAGGTTGGGTGATGCCCTTCCTTAGACCCAAGGCCTATCTAGGTTTCCCAGTTAATCTATCTATTAGGAGTAAGTCTTATATCAGCATCCTATAGACCTAAGGTTGGGTGATGCCCTTCCTTAGACCCAAGGCTAGGTAATCCCTACCTTGGTTTCCCAATTAATCAGTCTATTAGAAGTAAGTCTTCTATTAGCATCCTATAGACCTAAGGTTGGGTGATGCCCTTCCTTAGACCCAAGGCTAGGTAATCCCTACCTTAGTTTTCTAGCTAATTTGTCTATTAGGTGTAAGCCTTTTATCAGCATCCTATAGACCTAAGGTTGGGTGATGTCCTTCCTTACACTCTCAAGATTCTATTCAAAATTGTTATTCGGTCAATGCCAATGTGCGTAGCAGAAGTTCCTTCTACTACACACATTGGGGTCCATTTGTTGACATCATTTTATATGAGGTCACTTTTAACTCCTCTCTGAGCTCTAGATCCTAGGATCTTCCTAGTTTTTAGCCCTTAGGCCCAATTCAGATCTTAACTCAATCCAAACCAGAATCCCTAGGTTAAGGACTCAGGTTTTGAAACCCTTTTTAGGTGATTTTTCCACCACCTCCAAGCTAAGTCAATTGGCATCTGATTCAAGGTCTGTCAATTGCATATTGTTGTGACATATTTCTAGTATTAACCCTCCAAATTTAAGCTCATTTGAAGAATTCTAACCCCATAAACTTAATCTCGTTCCAAACATTGCAGAACCTTCAAATATTTACAATCAATGCCACTAGACCCTCCACCTAGTGGAATTTGACCTTGGAGCCCCCTCCAAACCATTTGATTACCTATAATACCTTGATATTGACTTGTTGAACAATAGTCTACATCTTTCCATATTTGATTCGACCCAGAATTGACTCAGAGCCAAAATGACCAAAATGCCCTTCAAGGGGATTTTTTGTTTTTTGGCGTAGACTTAATTTGATTTGATCATCAATCTTTGAAATCTTCCTCCAGTGTTTCCAGTTGAACTTTGGAACCCCTTGGACTTAATTCCATCCATGGGTTAACTTGGTTGACCAAGTGAACCCATTTTGACCTTATGGCCTCTTAAGGATCAAAATGGCCATTTTGACCCAATTGATCTCTCCACACTTTGACACCCCATTCATTAGGTTCATGGGATTAAATTGAATTCAATGGAAATAATTCTTGGTCTTAGGTCATCTTGGTTGACCAAGTCAACCAAGTTTGACTAAATGACCCATACACCCTTCCTTCCATCCAAACCTTTGGACCAAGACCATTTCAATCCCATTTGAACTCAAAGGGTGGCTCCTTGGACTCCCAAGAGACCTCTCTTAGAGACCTAAGCCTTGGGCTCACTTGGGTTTGCCTTTGGCTTGACCAAAGTGCCCAAAGAGAGGCCCCCTTTGGACCATTTCTGAACCTTAATCAAACCGAATCCAAACCATGGTGGCATTGGGTCTCCCATGACCCAATATATCTCCCTTAATTAGCTCAGCCTTTGAGTCACCTTGGGTCAAGAGTTAGGCTAACCCAAAGTGGCCAAAACCACTTGGGATTGAGCCAATTCCTGTCCTAAGTCAAATTGAACTTGATCAACACCTCCATTAGGTGGCCCTAGGTCCAATACACCTCCTACAGCCAGCCCATGCCTTGGGTTGACTTGGGTCAAACTTTAGGCTAGCTTAAAGTAGCCAAAATCATATGGACCCGAGCCATCTTTGAACCCAGGTCAAATTGAGCCCAATTTCCACTTGAATTGGGTGGACCAGACCCAGACCCATCTCCCACTTCAAGCTCGGGGTCTGTCCTGACCTTGGTTAAGCCCAATTCATCCTGAACCAAGCAAGTTTGGGTCAAACCAAGCCACCAGATCAAATTGGATCTCCCCAGGCCCAATTGAGCTCACCCTCGACCCCAACACGTCCCCATCCTCTCTTCCAGGTCAACCCGACCCAAACCCCAGCTGGCGGCGATTGGGACCAATGGAGAAAAAGATCTGGTGGTCCCCCCCCAGCCGATCCTGACCCAAAGCCTTCCAAAGGCTGTGGCTCACCAGCTTGAGGCTTACGAGCTCTCTGGAACGATGTCCCCTTCCTCCTGGCACCCATCCGAAGTCCCTCCCAGTCAATCCCGGCCATCCAAACTTATGGGAGGTGGCTGAATAGGGTAGTGCTCCCTAGAGGCCATGAATCGACTCCAAGCATTCAAAATCTTTCCCCAGAGCTCCTTCGTCTTCCTTGTGCCATTCCCTAGCTTCCCAGACCATCCCGTTGATCCGTTCGAGAAATCTTCGGCGAAAGCTCTCAGCACCACACTCGAAGTCATACCTCCGGCCCTCCTTCGGTCTTGAAGTCTGAAGGAGATCTGTTTGCCTTCATCCTCTGAAGCTTCCTGAAAGAGAAGCTCATCCGTTGAGACCTTTTCTCTGATAATTTCTTCATCCTGAGCACCCTAGTTAGGTAGTATGGTCAAGTGTGAAGGAAACATTCACCCCGGCGGATCTCCACTGTTGGATTGGAGGTTCCATCAACCCTGATCCTCTCTATGAAATTTCATCGAATTTTACTGGCGGGATCACTCGGATGATGTCGGAGAAGCTTCACGGTCTCGGGTTCGCTTGGGAGGTTAAAAATGAAATCCAGACCGTTGATTTCAATCAACAGTGCGGATTATATCCCACGGTCCTACAGCTCCATTAATCATAGCCGTCCGATCTTCCATCTGATGGTTACGGTTAATCTGACCGTTACCCAGTCAACGCCAATGATTTCCTCCCCAATCATGGCGCGCCACGTGTAAAGTGCCGGCTGTCTGGGTAATGGTTGGATTAATTTCACAAAAAAAATCAAGGGATCTTCAAAAATTAATTTCTCCCTGCACACTTGACCAAATTAGGTGTTCTTAGGCTCATTGGAAAGGTATCAGGGAGACCTACAAAAGCCCTATGGTTCTAAGTCCTGATTGAATCTATGTTAAGTTTAATTTCAGTTTGTGTTATTTCAATTATGGCATTTATTGCCTAAATTCAATTCCCCAGGACCTGGAATTTTGGTAGAATGGATTTGGGCATGTCCCTGACATGCCCAAATTTTATCTCTCCTGTTTGAGATGTTTAAGGGCATTATTTCCAAAATTTGGATTCAAGGGTCATGGGTTGACCCTTAAATTCAAAATCGGATTATAACCTTTCCAATGAGAATTAGGTTTTGATCTTGTGTGTGCTAGTGATGTGTAGTATAGGGAGTTTAGAGCCAGTGATTTCACCCCAATCCATGCTTAGGATAGCTCCCTAGGATTTTCTTAAGGTGACTTAGAGATAATCTTAGGTGTCTTGGTTAGCCACCTTAGTGAGTTCCAATTAAGCCCATATTGGGTGCATTTAAGACCTGAGATTAGTTCATCCCATGGTTTAAATCTCATCAGGTTTGGTGCCCATTTGGTCCACCAACTAGGAGCGATAATATCCCCCCCTTAGAATCACCCTTTAGTCTTAACAAAATCCTAATAAATCAAGATTAATTCCTAAAATTCCTTAAAATTCCTTTAACTGACCCTAATTGATCCATTAATCAGTAGAAATTTAAATCCCTTTAATTTTACTTTAAAATCCATTTTAATTAAATTTTGATCAAAATTAATATTTTATTAATTTGAATTAATTAAAAATTATTAAAATTCTTAAAAAATCTTTAAACACTTGTTGATCTTTTCTTAGATCATCTCTGATCTTTGGAATATATTTCAAGAAGTTTAAGATCCATTTGGGCTTAAATCACTAAAAAGGACCCTTAGTAATAATAAAGAAAAATTCCAATAAAACCTAAACTTCTAAAATTCACCACTAACTATACAAAATTCCAAATCAATCAAACTCAGTGGCTCATGACTCTAATTAAAATCTAGTACTTTTCAAGAATTTGATATCCCCAAATTCTGGTCAAAGTCAAAAAGTCAACATTTTGGTCAACTTAGGTTAAAAACGGGTCAAAACTTCTAAAAATCATAACTTTTCATAGAAAACTCCAAATTGAATGTGCTACTTGTCTAACAACTCATAATAAGGTATATTATTTGTTAAAAATCTGAAACCTTCAAATTTTCCTCTAATTGTAAAAATTAAACTTTGACCCCATAGTTAATATATCTAGATATTTTCCTAAAACCCTTTAATTCTTTAAAACTCTAGAATTTTCTAACTTGATTAATAAAACTCTCAATAAATCCTTTAAAATTAATAACCAACTCTTTTATACTAATCCACTCCTTAATTACAACCAAGTTAAATTAATTTAATCAACCCCGATTACTACTAGTAACCCAAGCATACGAGGCTATTAGCTTAGCCCCAAGGAAGGTGAAATAAACTTTACGGTCTCGGTGTGAAACAAAAGTAGTAATCATTTAACTCTTAAAATATATTTAACTAAATGTCTTAATATTTTAATATTTAAACTTTAATCTAAATTTCCCTTTAAACCTTAACAAACTCAAATACTAGACAACTTTAACTAATCACCCAACTTAGGATCTACCCCAGCCACCGACCTTCTATACATACTTTAGATGATTTGCTAGGACAACCAACTCTAGATCAAGGTTAGGCCGGTGTTTACTTTACTACTGTGTGCCATATTTTTTATGATTTTACTGCATGTTGTGGATGAAATTGCCTTGCTGTGTCTGCTTACTTTTTACTGCACTATGTGGATGATTGATGTGTTTGGCGACTAGATTTCCCTTAGGATAGGAGTGATCTAGATGTTCACATAATTTTCTGCATGTGGCCACACTCATGCAGGGTGATAAAAAGGGGGCTAAATAAAAAAAATTAATTATTATAAATGCTTTCACATGTGCTTCAGCTGCTAAAACCTCCAAAGTAGTAAAAAGAGCATGACCAGTGTGTTTATTTACTTTTCTGCACATGTATAACTGCTTTGGAATATATTTTGATTTATTAACTACTTAGGATAACCCTGTAGGAGAGTCTAGAATTTTATTTCATATTAAATATAAGTTGTGCAAATGTAAAGTGTTGTGAAAGTGGAGTTTTAAATTAGGATACATAGGTCCAAAGCTTGGACTCTAAAGAGAAAAGGATACCCCTTAGGGGAGTAGCCCTTTTCCATTTAGAGATCTAAATTTGGATCACTTCTTTCCTACCCAAACAGGAAAGAGTGGCCTTCCCCTCAAAGAAAGTGCCCTCGTATCCATTTGGGTAGCCTACTACGAAGAATCTAAAGAGCCTGAAGGAAAGGAGTCCAAAGGAGAACAAGATTGAAGAATTGAAGAGAAAGAGTATTCCACTCAAAATCACTTGCATCACTACTAGGTTTAGAATATGCATTATTGTCAGTGGTGCCCGACCACATTATTTTATGTAAATTCTAGTTTGTAATAAGCAAGGCAACTTTGCCTATAGACATTTATTAATTAATTCATTTATATTTGATGTGTTAAAATGATTGCATCTAGAATTTTCTGCTTTTTCTAATTTTTTAGCATTGGTGTGCAGCTTTTTGTTTTCGCCTGGATACGTGAGACCCGTAAGGGTGTGAAATTTTTTATACTCATAATCTTAAAGTTTAAAATTTAGTGAGTCAAAATAACATAGAAAGATAATAAATTTAGGAAATTTGCCTAGGATCGACCCTGGGGTCACATGCATATTTCTGCACTACTCTCTCCCCGCCTACGATATAGTCCGGATAGGCTGACCTATGAGGACAAGGTGTCGGATCTGGGGAAGTCCAGTCTTCTAAAAAATTATTTTCTAAGCCTATTTTTAACTTTAAATCATACTTAATTTGAGGTTGTTAACTAGCATGCATTACATTAGAAACAATTTAAAAGTGTCAAAATTTTAATTGCATTAGTCTTTAGCATTTTGTGCCCAATATAAGTTAAAGGGGTCAGTTAGAAAAATCTCTAGATGCCGGCCCAAGCTCTCCAAAACCTTAAATAAAATGTCCCTACCACTCTTTCATAAAGGTTGGACTCATCTATTTTAAATCGATTAGGTGATTAGCTGGCTCCCCAATCCAGGTTGGGGTAAGTCCAGACCTTGCACTGTATTTATTAGGTCCGGACTATTGTGGTACAGTGTCTAAAATTAGATTTAGGATCCGAGGAAGTTCTTTGATTATAAGACCCCAAACTTTAGAAATCTAATACCAAATTTTTAATAAAATGCTCAACTCTAATTAAAATCTTCTTTCAATCCTAAAATATAAAGCCCAATACTTAGATTAAGTTGGGATACTTCCGGATGGTTCTGGAATCTCAAAGTGTCCCCTATTCCTCTTCCCTTGATTTTGTTAATAACTGATCAACTTCGATCCATTCCCTTTTGAGCTTCCAAAATTCACCTCTTTTTTATATCACTCATAGAAAATCTAACAAAATTTTGCCACTATTTTAATTGAGAGTTTTCGTAGGGGACTCTATCTCCCTATGATGTAATTAACTATGAGGACTTGCGCTCGTAGGAGATTTAGAACTACACATTCACCTAGTTTCAAAATTTCTTTTTTCAAAATTCATATTGGATTCTTTTGGGAAAGATCAAAAGATGATCATTATTATCATATTAAAAGAATTATCATTGAATGGCGTTATCTCCCTTTGGGGAGATATACCTTTCTTTGATAAGGCTTTGGATGTGAAATCAACGATTACACTTCTTGAATATTGTAGCTGAATATTCAGTAGAACCCCATCCTTTGGAGCCATATGAAATTCTCTTTAGCATCCGATCACAATATTCAAGATGAATTTCATAATTCTAAATTTGAATATTATTATAAAATTTTTTTACCTCTCGAGGTGATATACTTTTTCTAATGGGGCAATTCAATTTGAGAATTAGAATCTAACTTTAATTTCAAAATTCCCAAAGAAAATTAATATTTTTAATATATGTTTTTTCAAAATTCCACCAACATTTGACTGCTAGAAGACCTGATATTATATTTAGTGTTTATTTGTGTGCTAGTTTTTAATCAGATCCAAAAGAATCACATTTTATAGTAGTGAAAATGATTTTGAGATATCTCTTGGAAACTCAGAACTTAAAGATTTGATATCCTAAGTTCTGTTCTTCATTTAAAATAATTGGATATTCAGATTCACACTTTGCAGGTTGTAGGGTTGATAGAAAAAATACATATGAAACATGTCAATTTATTAAAAATTTGTTAGTTTCTTGATCCAATAAAAAATAGAATTATGTAGCCCTATGTACTATTGAAGTTGAATATATTGCCTTATTAAGTTGTGTGGCACAAGTTCTTTGATTGTAACAACAGTTGATTGATTTAGGATTTACAATAGCCATAATTCCAATTTATTGTGATAACACTAGTGCTATTTGTATTTCAAAAAAATCCTATTCAATATTATAGAACCAAACATATAGATATAATGGATCATTTCATAAGGGATTATGTATT